CCAAGAAGAAGAGGGCCACCCCCTCTCCTTGTTGTCCTTGAAATGGACCATTTTTGGCCTCTAACGGGATCCTATGTTTGAGTGTGTGTTGAGCATGTGTAGACTATTTTTCATGCTTATATTTCCATAATATAACATGATTTTAAATTGGTTTTGGTACACCATGCATGCTTAGCATACCTACCTTGTAATGCCATGTTTATGCCTTAATGTGCCTTAGGTTGTTAGCCTTTGTTCAAGCATGTTTTAGACTTAGTTGACATGTTTTAGGTCTGTCCATAAGTGTTTGGGTTGATCTTGGCATGCTTAGTATAGCCCCTTTGCATGTTTGGCTTGTTGGTCTTAAGTGCATAAGTGTGTAGCATGCATCGCTTGTATAATTTTCAATGGTTTGGAGCCATTTTCCATGCTATTCCAGTCCCTTAAACATGCTTGCTTTATTGCCTTGCATGCCTCTTTAATGCTTTGGAAGCATGTGTTGCATGCTCCATGTTTTGACCATCGTGCATGCCTCTAAATTTGAGCCACTTAGATGCCATCTAAGTAGTCCTTTAGCCTTGTTTTAACATGCTAAAAATCTGTTTTTAGTTGTTTAATGCATGCCGTGATTGTTATGCTAAATGTGCTTCAAAGCTTCATGACTTGCCTCAAGTATTTGGACCATGCTTGCATGCATTTGCCCATCTTGTTTAACATGATTTAGGCATCATTTTATAGCATGATTTTAGGGCTTATAATGCATGGTAGTTGTCCATGCTTACCTTCTTTCAAATGTGTTTGAGAGTTGTTCAATTTGTGCCTAAGTGTTGGCCTTTCAACATGTATATGTGTGCATGTGTATTTGGTCCCTCATTATAGCACTTTGGCCCTTGTTTTAGGACTATTTAGGGCATGCTTACCTTGCATGTTTGCTTGTATGCTTTGCATAAGTACATTGCATTGTTCATGTTGCATGAATGATAACATGCTTAGGTTGCATTGCACCAACATGCATTCCTTGCCCCTTGATTTGGTGATAGGGATTGGGACTTTGGTTTGATTTGGTTTGCACGCATTTGAAATCAAAGTTGCATACTTGATCACTCGGGCCATCATGCATGGAAATGTGTGATTGATGATCTGAGAATCGAGGCACATGCCCCTTTGAGTCATTACCATGATAAGGGACATGAGTGGTGCATACATGCCTTGAATTGTGCTGCCATGCTTTGCCTTGCCCTCTGTTGCTGTCATTTGCAGATTCTGCAGGAACATTATGCCGACCGGTAGTGTAAGGTGCCGACCGGCAATCATTTCTCTGCCGACAGCTTCATTTTGTGCCGGTGGCCACACCACACTGCCGGTGGCAATTTCATTCAGCCGGTGGCAATTTCATTCAGCCGGTGGCACTCCCCAATGTCCAAGGAAGCAGTCCTGAGGTTTTGGCAGCCTCCAGAGGAGTAAAGGAAGGAAAACAGAGGCAGCCTATGCATGGCGGTGCATTTCCGAGCGGGACCGGGCATGCATTGCATCGAGACCTCCTCCCGAGGCGGTTTACTATTTTTCTAGCTTTAGTTAGTTGCTTAGTTGATTAGGCAATTTGTAATATTTAATTAGCTTGCGTAGTTAATTATTTGTAATATTCATTTGGTCCCTCCGAGTGAGGGCAAATCTGTAATAAGTATGCGTGAGTGGTGTGTATGTCTTCCAAACCCCACTTCTTTCTTCCCTTTTACTTACCTGCTTTGTTGGTTAGTAATAGGACATGTTCAATTTGGCATACCTTATGCTATGCATGCGTGCATTCATGCATTTGTACTGCATGCATTAGGCTCGGTACATCACGCTAACTGCATTTGTACTTCAATTCAAAAATTGAATATGTGATAGTTGATCGCTGTAACAAGCCCGCGGGGGACCTCGCTACAGCTCGGACTCCCCCATTTTGTGCTATTTTGTGCAAGTTTCGATCGGATAACAGATACTATATTCGATCACTTTTTTCTGAAAAAAAATGAACGGTCAGAAAATTAACGATTCGTAAAAAAATGATCTGAATACATAATATTCATTATTCAATTATGTGATTTTTTACAGAGATAATGTATTCAACAAATTCTAAAATATGAATTGTTCAGATTATTAAAAATGAGCCCAAAAGTGGACCCAATGGGCCAGACTGGACCCTCCAGTCCACGACTGGAGGCAAGCCCCAGCAAGCAAGGCCCAAAATCAAACCAAACAGCCCTTAAACCATAGCAAGAGAGAGAGAGAGAGAGAGAGAGAGAGAGAGAGATGGCAGGGTATAGAGCTGAAGATGAATATGATTACTTGTTCAAGTTGAAGGGGGTGCTCATAGCTGACCTTCCCCGATCGTACCCAAGCTCCCGAGCCGAGATAACTCCGGTGATGACGGACATGTGGCCTTCGGCACCGAGTCAGGGTTTCCTAAATTTCCCCATTTTAAAATATTTAGGTGGCGACTCTGTATCTGGCAAAGCAGTCCATGTTTGGCACTACTTTTTCAAAAATCTGTTTCTCAAAACGATTTGTCAGATTTGGACTCTTTGGTTCAGATTTAGAACCGTGACACAAATCGAGTCCGAACTGTAGTGACCCCAAACGAACGGAACGGGACTCACCCTCCCGGGGGCGTTCGGGGGACGTCTACATATGGGTACAGTACAGAACAAACAATGCAATGTCATATTTGCCCAAATGACTATATTAATGTTTGTCCAGTGCAATGTGATATTTGTCCAACAAACAATGCAAGTTGAAAGTAGTAATGTTTGTTCGCTTTTACCACATGAATTATGTTTGTTCGATTTTTTTGAATGCCATGATTTTGTCCAAAACAAAGCAAAAAAAAAGCCCACAGAACAAACAAATAGCGGTGACTATAATGCACTTTGAAGGGGAACTGATTACTTCATAACAATGCATAAACGGTGAAAAATTGCACAAAAAATAAAAACAACCATACAACAGACCATTAAAAACACAGAGTATTGATATTCAATTTTTTTTTTGTTCAGCAAAACAAAAAACTGTATTGATGAAAAAGCACATACAAGGTGTCAATGATACATCAACAAAGAGGAGGTTAGAGACCAACGAAGAGAAACAAAAACAGAAGGAAAACAATAAGAATGTAACTCCAAGCCCATCCTCACAAAACCACATAACAGGGCAACCAGATGAAACTCCAAGGCAGCATGAACAAACTTCAGACCATACAGCCACCATTGAGACTTGAGCCTGAACCTTCAACCTCCATTGAGACTTGAGCCTGATCCTTCAACCTCCAAAAAAAAAAAATAACTACAGCAGCAGACCAAGCAGACCTCCAATAACTTTCCCCAATCCAGCAGCAGACTTCTAATATAGCACACCAAAACATCATTCAAACAATTGCAAAAAGGCCAATATGCAGCAGCAGACTTAAGCCTATTCGTTGATCCCATATAGCAGCAGCAGAGTACATATATAGCAGAGCAGATTTGAAGCACAGCAGAGCAGCAACCAGAAATGAGCATGCTTGACCCCATAAACTAAGCCAGAGCAACAAGCCAAAAATAAGGCAAAGCATAGCAACATTGAAGCACAGCAGAGCAAAAGTAGCCACCAAGAAGATATGGTAATACCACAGACTGACCAAAATCCTGCATACCACAGATTGACCAAACTCCTGCACCCTTGCAGCAAAAAACACCAAACACCACCCCCTAAATCAGACTTTGATGCTATCCAGAATACAATATATGTCGTCCACTGAATGCTGTAGGCCTCTATAACTTTGCTTACAGCAAAGTGCAACCCTCACTTTCACCATCTCAGCCAATTCAGGCCCATCAACAATTTTATTATTAAAAAGGCAATCATTCCTACCTTTCCAAATCATTCCTAGGTATGCAATACAAAAGAATACATATATAAACTAGCCTAAGATTTGGGGAACAAAACGGCTAGAACACCCCACTCTGATTGAGCATCTGCCAGCATGGCTTGGGCTTGGTCCAACTCAGCTTTAGTTGTCTGAATGGATGCAGAACGATGTCTAATTTGGGAGAGCATTATCCTTGCTTCTTGATTAAGCTGGTCATGTTGCTGCTGCAGATGAGCCTTTCTTTGCCGGACAGAGGCAAGTTCTTCCATGAGTTTGGCTTCCTCAAGTTCAAGTACTGAGTGTTGCTGAAGAATGGCTACAGAGGTTTGCTGGCTGAGTTTAAGTGAAGTAGATATGGTGTGGGCTTCGTTTAGGAAATCCTTTTTGGTTTGAATATCCTTCAAGCAAGTCTGAACCATCTCTGAAAGGGTTGGCCATTCCGTGATGATCTTGGCCAATTGCTTTAGTTGAATGGGGTTGAAAGGATTAGGGGAGAGCTTTACAACAGCAGAAAGACAGGCCAAGGTTTCATCAGGTTTGTGGAGAATGATTTCTTCAACTGGGGTGTTAATGAGGTTGATGAAGGTGGTTAAGGTTTGTTGAGTTTCAGCATCAAACAGATGTAGCCTTTGAGGCAATGGGGATATTTCGACTAGATCTTGTTGAAGAATAGAAAGTTCGGCCCAAATATCCTGGCATGGACCGATGGCCTGTGAACATTAATAGTTTGGTGAGAATATATGCTTGCAAGTAATAAAGAGTAAATAGGATGAGGTTGGAAATGGTAGTACATGTCCTGATAATGTGCGCGCAGACGGTTGGCCTTGTTCAGCTGTGGTTGTGGCATCAGGACGAGTTGTTTCTGGTACTGATGAAATGGCAGCATCAGCGCCTTGAGGCTCTTTCTCTGGTTCTGCTAACAGGGGAAAGTCATGAGGACCTTCAAGTTCTGTCTCGCCCATTGGTCGTGGAGATGAGTCCTGTATTATGTCTATCCTTGTAAATTGGAGAACAATACCAGTTACTTAAAGAGAAGTTTTTTTTTCCCAAACGAACAGTAACATTTGTATTTCTATTTACCTTGGTTGTGGTGAGCTTCTGGTCGAGGGGATTTTGTGTTTTCATCTGTTGGAGAGGATTGGCTGTTGATTGAAATGTCAAATTCAATCCTCTATGATTCTTTGTTTGAAGTTTGGGAATTGGAGGGGTTGGATGGCGATGGTTGAGGGCTAGAGACAGAAGGGACAATGTGTTGAGGAGAAGTGGAAGGATGTTGTGTTGCAGATTGTGTAGATTGCTGTGGCGAAGACTGTGAAGCAGGTTGTAAGGAAGTTTGTTGCGATGCTTCAGATGGTGGTGGAGTTGGTTGTACAGTGGGTTCTATGGGTACATTGCTGATTGGACTGGGAATTTGATGAATGTGTTGAGGAGAAGTGGAAGCATCGTCATCATCAGCAGCAGCAACGAGTAATCTCCTTCTTTTTCTCTGCACAAAAGTAAGTGATCAGTCGGACGTGAATGGAAATTAAGATGCTGTAAATATGTAAAGTGAAGGCTTACTTGGTAGAGCTGCCCTGAAGGATTTGATGTTGTTTGGCCAACCATTTGGCTGAGAGGGATATCCCATTCACTTAGGTCTGTGCTTAGAGCAGGAGTAGTGGAAGGCTCTTCTCTCTTCTTCGCCATGACCTCTGTCTCGGCAGGTAGCTCCTCTCTGTGCTTGTGTCTGCGCGGCTGCGAAAGAGTCTGCCATTAATTTCGGAACTGAGGGGGTGTTTGTCTGAGTAGTTGCATCCATTGGATCCTTGCCTTTACGTTGGTCCCTAACCAATGGTTCAGGAGCAGGCCCAATTTTGGCTGTCAAAGGTTAAACAAGTTAGTGTTGTAGAGAAAAAAACAAAACAAATTGCATGACACAGTCAGGGATATGAAGTATATGAAGGAAGGATACCTGTAGCCTTAAGCTTGGAAGGCGAGGATATGCGGCCCTGAATATGAATACAAGTATCGTTAAGGCAGCTTTCAAGTGGCTTGCAGAAAATAATGGCAGACATAAGTCCCCACCAATGGTCAAAAGCAGCCGAGCAGTCCGAAGTAGGTTTGAAGAAAAAAGGGCCAAAATCTTGGAAAAGTTTGGTGTTCTCTAGTCCGAAGCAGGTTTGAAGAAGAAGGGGCCAAAATCTTGCAAAAGTTTGGTGTTCTCTATCAGAATGGATTCAGCTTGTGTAGGATCTTTCAAGTGGATTTTGGACCCAATCTCCTCATGGATGGTTGGGTGGAAATAAGGACAAGGGATAGCCTGGGAAAGACCAAATTGCCTGGACCATTGATTGGGACAGTATGTCTCAAAACTGCAGCTGGATAGCTTGGCGGAGGATATGGAACAACCAACCAAGACATGTCTAGAGGTGAGAATGTGTCTCCAACTCTCATTTTGTTCTTGGACTTGCTCATTGTGTAAATCAGAAGGGTCTGTGAAGAGGAAGCGAAGTCTACTGGAGGAGAATACAAAGTTTTGAAATGGCATGTACAGGTTGGAAGGTCTCTGCGAAGGAAGGTTGTAAAACATGGTAAGATGATTTGTGAAAGTGAGTTTTGAATGGCTGTTATAAGTGTGCAGTTGCTCAGCATAGGAGTAGCAAACAGGTTTCAAGGTGTTAGGTGGTGGGGGTCGTGCCTCAGGGAAATAGGCATACAACCAGGCCTGGAAGAGCCAGAAGGGGCCACCACAGTTGCCAGAAATCTTCTTGTCGACAAAGGAAAATAGGGCCTTGTAAAGGGTGGCAAGAAGATAAGGGGCTAAAGCCATAAGTTATCCATCTTGCATACACAAGGCAAGGGGGAGGTATTCTTTCGTGATCTTGTACCCAGGGACACAAAAAAGAAACTCACAAAGCCAAAGTAAGTAAAAAGCAGTTCTTTCTTTGTCATCGACAAGGGAACCACGCTTGCCTTGGTATTTTTTGGCAAAATCTGTATAGCACATGTCAGTGTTTAAAGTAAATGTCACTTTTGGAGGCTCAAGGAGAGCATGAATTGGATTGCCCAAGATTGGCAGACCAGTCAAGTGAGCTACATCTAAGATGGTAGGGGAAATCATACCAAAATTGAGGAGTAGGGAGTTACTAGACTGCGACCAAAAGCATGCAGCAGCAGCAATCAGCCCTTTCTCCACGTCATAAATTTTAGTCGACAGTCTAATTGCTTCACCAATGCCCTAGTGCTTCCATACTTCGGCGTCGTGACCTTCAATTCTCCTGGCCCAGCTTCGCCAATCAGAGTCTGGTGACCTCCACCCTCTGAGTGGGTTTTTGCTGACATTCCAGTTAGTCCACTTGAGTCCAGCTTGGTTGAGAAGAAGGTTCTCACCATTACCAAGGGGATAGTATGGAGCTAGCTCGTCTGGGAAGTAAGACGCAAAGGTAGGGCCTAGAGTAGCCTTAGCGACAGAGCTTGGGCTGGGCAATAGGGTTGCAGCAAATTTTAGAGGAACGATAAGTGCTCTGATAGGGTCCGGGAAGCGGAGTAGGTCTTCATTGTTCTCCTCAGATGGAGATGGTTGAGATTTTTTCGGTGCCATGGCTTAGGGTTTTGTGGTGCTCTGGTTTTGAACGGCAATGCTTGACAAGAAGGAGTACAGTCTTGGGAGTTCGAATAAGAGGGAAATAAAGTGGTTTGAAGTTGAAAAGGTGAGTATTTTATAGCTTATGATGGGGCCAGTATATTTAAAAGCTCTTATATTGGGCTGTACTTTATGCTTGTTTTGGGCCCAAACAATGGCCCCCTCGTTGAAGTTAAATATCATATGACTTGGACCCCCACAAGGGGGGAGCCCCTACCGCTGCAACTGTACCTGATTTGTGTTATTCGCTTTCTGTACATAGTTTCATCCTTCTGTGCGCCGGAAGTTGGTGCTTGACTTCGTTATGGATGTGAACAATACAAAGATGGGCGAGTATCGTTCGTGCATGTGATTGATTGCAATTACAACAAATAGTGCAGCGATTTTATCATGGCCTGCCAGTACGAGTGTAATTTCAATGCCCAACCACAACTGGATTACTGCATCAGCTTGTCGTGACAAATTTTTAGGTCGCAGCTGTGATAATACTAATTTCCCACGCGTATTAAT